GCTCCCTATGGGCCCCTGCCATACTGGCTGCAGCACTGCCTCTTGTTTGAGGCTCATCCCTGTGTGGGTGGCCAGCGAGTAACAAGGGAGCCTGAGGCATGGGAACACCAGCTGGGATTCCTCCAGCTGCAACCCTGCCAATTGGGCCCCCAGCAGCTGCACTGAGTGGCACCTGTGTCTTTGGGAAAGGGTCCCTCTAGCGTTCCCAAGAGCTGGTTCTCTCCTCACAGCAGCACCAGACCTAGGACTCCCTTCTCTTCCCTTTCTGCTGCTTTGCAGTGTTTTGGCTAAATCTTCTTGAACTCTTCCATCATAAGGGATCTCATTCGTGTGCTTGTCAGAGGTTTAAATAAGGCACCAGTGAAGATGGGCCATATCGCAGGACTCACCTCATCCCACAGCCAGCAAGCAGCAGCTGCTGCAGCTCCTGCCCACAGTCAGGACGTGGGTCTAAGGGCAGCGCTCCCCACCAGGGTCACCTCCACAGAGGCCTGGAGGCTCGCCACAGCTCTGGCTCAAACCCAGGACTTTCCAGTCCAGCTGTCTTTGTGAGCCAAAATGAGGCAGAATCAGTTCCATTCCCAGCTGCTCCACTTCCGACCCAGCTCCCTGCTACAGGCCTGGGAAAGCAGTGCAAGATGGCCTAAGTGCTTGGACCCCTGCACCTTACAGGAGACTCAGATGAAGCTCCTAGCTCCTGGCTTCAGGTCAGCACAGCTCTGCACTTCCTGGCCATTTGGAGACTGAACCCGCAGATGAAAGATTCTCTCTCTCCCCTCTACCTCTAATGCTGCCTTTCAAATAAAGGCAAGCAACTGTGGAAGCAAGAAGGCCAGCGTGCTGCACACTTGCCGGGGAAGCCGGGAAGCCGGGAGCGTTTTCCCCTTCTCCACGAGGTCCCAGCGAGGACCCACCTCCTGATCTGCTCCCGCGGGAGGCCCAGCCCAAGTCCTCGGGCAACAGCGCAGGCTGCGGGTGCCTGCTCCCCTCCTCTCACTGTGGATGCCTGTGCCTCGGCCTCGCCCGGCACGGAGGGCGTTTGATCCTCTCTGGAGCCTCCTCCCTCGTGGAGCCGGGCTCAGAGTGAATCTATTCATGCTGTCACGGTCGCACCCACGAGCTACACCTGTCCGCTCTTCCTTTTTCAGCAGCTTAAAGGTCACCCTTAGCAACAGAGAGGGATGTCATTTGCGTCTGCATTTGCGGAGGCGGCTTGACTGTGCTGAGGGAGCAGGAGGACGTCGCCCAGCGCCTCAGCTGCAGAGGGAGCGCGCGGCGCCCCCGGGGAGCCAGAAACACGAATCCCAAGCAGCGACTGAGGCCCGTCCGCCGCCCGGCAGCTCCGAGTCTCCCTTCGTGAAACGGGAAGGAGACACCGAGGAAGATCCTTCCGGGTCGCGTCTCGCAGCCCTGAGGAGGACAACTGGATCGCGTGAGGGGCAGGCGTCGGAGAGCGGGGCGGCCGCAGCCCGCTCCCCGTCCAGGGAGCAGGTGTGAGCGCACGGCCCCGCGGGGAGGCCGGAGCCCCAGCCGGGCGTCGGGGCTGGAGGCCGGCGGAGGGCGAGCGGCTGCGTCTCCGAGGAGGCGGCACCGGGCGAGGCCGGCAGGCAGCGCTGTGAGGAAAGGCGTGCCATGGCGGGCGTTTGTCGTCGTGTGTGTGCGGGTGGCGCGCCGTGATCGTATAGTGGTTAGTACTCTGCGTTGTGGCCGCAGCAACCTCGGTTCGAATCCGAGTCACGGCATGACCTGCTGTGGCAGGTGCAGTGCATCCTGCTCTGGTGCTTTTTTATTAAAAAAGACGAGGTGCTCGCCCCGTCGGAATCGGAGGGCCGCTGGCTAGATCTCTTGAGCACACAGTCCTCAGGTGCCTCGGAAAAAACACAGGCTCTGACCTAGGAATCGGACTACAAGCCTTTCCCCTCTTGGCTGCTGGCCTCACGCGGGCGTGTCGGGGTCCCGCTGGAGGGGAGGCGCTGGCCTGCTCAGCCACGATTACAGGTTCATCTCCACCATTCATTTCGGAACCACTAAGCCTTCCAACCACCTGGCCTTGCCTTTACAAGAGTTTGCCATCAGGATAGCAAGTCCAGGGCAGCGTGTGTCTCCAAGGTATTCTAGGATCGCTTCCTGCTCTCCTGGAACGTGCCTTTATCTCTCGGTCCCCTGCTGCTTGTGGACAGAGATCCCCGCGGAGGGCGTGACAGCGCTGGACTCGCAGGACGTTCTCAGAAGAGCGCTACCTGGAAGTCAGAATAAACTGACCACAGTCGTTCATGTTCAAGTTTTCTGTTCCAGCCGCTCCGCATCAGGCCTCACCTTTTGGTTTTTCGTTCAGCTCTACCCAGATTCATTCGCATGTTCATCTGGGAAGAAAAGTTGTTTCGGTTTTGCACAATCAATGGTTTTAGCAACTGTACAGTACTTACAGGGGAGAAGTTGCCCAGGTGTGGATCTCTCTCTGTCTCTCTCTGCCTCTCTCTTTCTCTCTGTCTCTCTCTTTCTCTGTCTCTCTCTCTCACACACACACACGTTATGCAGCCATGTTTATTATGTGTCATTAGGCTAACCCAGGCAGCCCAGATTGAGGAGTTCGGGACCTCACAGGTCCGCGTGACCGCTCAGGTCCTCGAGGCGTTGGGCACCAAGGCTTTCACCTGGGTATGGGGAGCAGCCGTGGCTGGAAACCATCGACGCAGGATTGCTGCGCCCTCGATAAAGGGAGAGCGTGGATCTGGACTCAGGATCCCGAGTGTACACCTGGAGACATCTTGGTCTCGGAATCCTGAACGCGGTTCTTTACTCAAGCAACACAGATCTGCATTTAGAAAGGAAGGCCTCCAGGGACTGGTGAGGCCAATTTTCCCACGGTTCATCCTCTGCTCTCCACCGCGCTCCCACCAAGCCCCAGATGTCTTGGCGCTGTTGGTGCCTCCCATCCACGTCCTGTCGCGTACTTTCTCGTTGTCCTCCTGGGGCGGAGTTGAGTTCGGATGCCTTCGCGGTGAGTTGTACACAACAAAGCGGTTTTGCTTGTGTGGAGAGAATGCCATGGATGCGTTAGAAAGTGGTGGTAGTTGTGCGCCCGGCTAGCTCAGTCGGTAGAGCATGAGACTCTTAATCTCAGGGTCGTGGGTTCGAGCCCCACGTTGGGCGATTCTCTCTTTTGAAGCTTTCTCATCTACTACCAATTCTGAACTGTTAAATCGCCCCTCCACAAAGTTTCCCTCGTCACCCCAAATGGTCCGAGACAGGTATTGTGTGTAGATAAACCTCGGGAATCTGATTCTCCTTGCCTCTGAGCTAAAGTGAAAGGACCCCACTACGCTGTGCTGTCTCAGTCCCCGGACTGGCCCCTGGCGAGGCTAGGTCTCTTCCCAAGATCGGGACGAGGCTCTCAGGGCCCATGTAGGTGGTAGAAAATTCAGCAAGGAGCTGAGGAGCAGCGTGCCTTGGCCGCAAAGGCCCGTGCCATGTCTACTGCCAAAGCCCGGGCAGGTGGCTGTGAAGGAGGGGGACGGGGCGGGGCGAGGGCCAATTGCTCCAAAAAGGAGCTCCAAAGGCTCCCTGCGCCCCTCCCCTCCTGCATCCTCCCACGCCATTCTGTGTAACTTGAATGTGCCACCTGGAAACTTTGGGCTCCAGTTATTCCCTTCCTGTCTCTTGCCACTTAAGTTCATTGGCAGTTTGGTAGGACATGTGGATACTTGGCAATGCAAACATCAATCTGATTGGAAGATGAAAGCTTCAAAAGCTCTATGGCCTCACCGGGCAGTGGCTCCTGGAGTGTAGCAGGAGCTGCTGTCACCAAGGTTGGACAACAAAGAAGCCTCCTACAACCCTACACTGCAGTCATTCTCGCTCTCTGCACCGGTCCAAGTGCTTGGGCCCCTGCACCGATGTTCAAGACCCAGAACAAGCTCCTGGCTCATCGTTTTGGACCAGCCCAGCTCCAACCTTTGTGGACATTTGGGGACTGAAACAGCAGAGGGAAGATCTCTGGCTCTCTCGCTCTCTTTCTTTCTGTAAATCTGCCTTAATGAACAAGACACTATTTAGATAGACCTCTACGAGGATCCAAATAAGACTTTATGTAACTTTAGGCAAATCTTCAGAATTGATTTTTTAAAAAGGATTTATTTATTTTTATTGCGAGGTAAGATATATACAGAGAGGAGAAGAGAAAGAGAGGAAGATCTTCCATCCAATGATTCACTCCCCAAGTGATTGTAATGCCTGGTGCTATGCCAATCTGAAGCCAGGAGACAGGAATTTCTCCCAAGGCCTTGGGCCATCCTCTACTGCTTTCCCAGGACACAGGCAGGGAGCTGGATGGGAAGTGGAGCAGCTGGTAATCAAACTGGCAGCCGTATGAAATTCCAGAGTGTGAAAGGCAAGAATTTAGCCATTGAATCACCTCCTATTTCGATGTGTTCTTTTGTTTTTCTAAGATGGCAAAACACACTGTATTCAAGGAGAACCCAACGCAGCAAGCACAGGGACCTCAGAAACGGGTCTTCTGCAGGGGAGAGAGTGGACTGACTCCACTTTTTCTATTATCGATGACAACTTTTCTTTCCCTTTTTTTTTTTTTTTTAAATTCATTTTTGTTGAAAAGTCAGATATACGAACAGGAGGAGACATAGAGAGGATTCACTTCCCAGGTGACTGGAACAGCTGGTGCTGCCTCGATTTGAAGCCAGGGAGCCAGGAACTTCTTCCAGGTCTCCCACACGCGGGTGCAGGGCCCCAAGCTTTGGGCCATCCTGGACCACTTTCCCAGGTCACAGGCAGGGAGCTGGATGGAAAGCGGGGCTGCCGGGATTAGAATCAGCACTCATATGGGATTCCTGCAAGTTCAGGGCCAGGACTTTAACCGCTAGGCCACCGTGGTGGGTCAGTGATAACTTTTGAGGATCTTGCGCACTTCAGCTCACCAGACAAGGTATCATAGCAAAAGCCACCTACCAGCCCAGATTTATCCACAAGAGCAGTAAAGTGGCCATTTTTTAAAGTATTTTTTTCATGAATTTGCACATCCTTGCACATGGGGCATGCTAATCTTCTCTGTATTGTTCCAATTTTAGTGTATGTGCTGCTGAAGCAAGCATGGCCGTAATTATTATGTTCACCAAGTAGCACGCTGAGAATGCAATCTCTCCTCTCCTAGCACAGGAAAATAAGGCAAGGATGCACTAGATAAAAGGTCACAACCCTTTCTGGTTTTTATCTGGCTCAGGACTGGCCTTGGTCCCACTCTGGAGGGTGACTTCTGGGTCCTTCGGCAGTGCAGCACCAGCTCTCTGCCACAGAAGCAGCAGGCCCAGGGACCTCTGCCACCACCTCTGCAGCCAGTGGAAGGCAAGCACACGGCTCTGCTGGGATTCGCTTTCCTGCAGTGTTCACGGCTTAGGAGAAAACTCTCAGACCCAGTTCTTCAGAGAGCCTCGTGTGACACCAACAACATTAGGCAACAGCATTCCCTAAGCAAAACAAGGAATTTGTACTGCTAGTAAATGCCAGCCTATGCAACCAAAAAAGGAGAAGTCCCTTAGAATGTGGAAATTAAGTATGTACATTTCTTCTGAGGTCAACTAGGCCAGGATTAGGGAAATCAGGCATGCACAAACACTTGCTTAGGCGTGTCCACCTCCAGGAGTCTGTTGTAGGGAAACCCTTGCACTGGCGAGGAAGGATATTTGTGTAAGTACATGCTCAGCAATGCTGCAGTAACAAACATGAGAAGCCATTTCGTGTCCTCCAACCGAGGAATGTTACCTACCTAATGGTTCATCCACACCACGAAGAGACGCGCAGTTGTTTAAAAGGCTGCGATAAGTATGAAGATGCTGATGCTGTTGGCAACAGAAGCGTAGTGGCTGGAGTTTCATGAGCATGTATCCAGTGGTCCAGTGCTTTATGTGCAGTTTTCATGGGATATTAACTCAGGAGGGGAGCACTCCTATTCACCTCCTTTTATAGACAAGGAAACCGGGACACAGAAAATTCAGGAACTTCCTCAAAGTGACATGGTCCAGAAGGAAAATTTCACCCTTGAATCTAGAGCCTTGCGACAGAAAACACTGGGGTTTTCTTGTTGCGAATTCTTGGGACATGCGCAGTAGTTGTGGCCCTGGAGAGCTCTGGAGTGCCCGACCTGAAGAGCAAGATTGCAGATTTCCTCCTCACTGCCAGGATTTCTGCTTGGAGGAGCCAGTGCTATCTATGTAATGGAGAGAGGTGTCCAGAGGACCTGAAGTCGTTCCACTTACAATGCTTCAAGGGATGACAAAGAAACTCAATCAAAAAAGAAGTACCGTCCCTGGGTGGGCTCGAACCACCAACCTTTCGGTTAACAGCCGAACGCGCTAACCGATTGCGCCACAGAGACACAATACAAACTCACAACAAACGCATTCCCTGGACAAAGCAACTGTCCACCGCACTCTGGCCTCCAGGCCCGAAACTCCGTGGCCCGTACACACCCGGGACGTGGGCGACACTCGGCACTCAGGGTCGTGCGGCTGGGCTCTCGTGGCCGCCACCTGCCACGTCAGTCAGGCCCCAGACTCACGGCCTTCGCCGCCTGCTCCGCGGCGACCCTAAGTCCCTCGCCCTGCCCTACCCTACCCTGCCGTGCCGCGGGAAACAAACGCAGCCTTCCGGCTTCTGATGCGGCGAGAAACTCCGCAGTAGGGAAAGGGGCCTTGGGCCGAAGTCACCGTGCTTGGCTGGGCGAAGCTGTTCGGATCCCCCAAAACGTCCCGGCTTCACATCCCTGCATCCCGCGCCCGACCTGAGATCCCCCCACCGGGTGCAGCGCTGCAGCCCCAGCCCAGGCTTCGGTGCCCGGGCAAGGAGGGAACCGGCAAGCACTAGGTGCGACTGGGGACCCCCGGTCAGTCAACAAAAGTGGGGACGCGACGGCGCGTGCCCTGTGCAGGCCGGCCCCTGTGTGTTCTCACCCGGAAAATCGGGACGTGTCTCGAGTCGCACCATTTTGACCTCTCCTTGCCTGCCCGGTGTCCGTCACCGCGCGTCCCTGTGCGCGCTGGGTGCTTCCCCTGGAATCCGAACACGGAGGTCTACCTTCGCCAGGCTTCCTCCTGAGCAGCTGGGGACTCCCGGGCTGCAGAGCTCCGAGCAGGTGGCATACAGCCTGCTCCTCGCGAGCGGTTGAGGCGGGAACACTCGCCAGGGACTCCCGCCAACCGCACCCTGCAGTCGGTGGAGCGCTCCCCTCGCACATCCTCCGGGACCCAGGAAAGACAATGAATGATCCGCCATTGTACTGTCAGGGGCAGCGGTAGCAGGTGCAGACAAAGAATCTGGAACAAAACATTACAAGAGTCTTCCTAGTCAGTCAACTGATGCTCGTTACTCGCAAACAGGTACATCTCACACCTGTAGCTTTCATTCTCAAGATGCTTATCGCTTCGGAGCTATTCTGCCTCCTTTCGCGTTGAAAACTCGGTTGTTCTGTATGTATCAGCCTTCGTGTTCCTTAGCGCCTCGATTGTGTATTTTCCCAATCACCCAGAGAAGAGAGAAGAAGACGCGGGGCTGAGGCTTCTGTGCCTGCAGTGAGAAAGGAAGGAGAGGTAGAGGCACCCTCGGCGCCCTTGGCTCCACTGCAGCTGTCGCTAGGGCCGCTTATGTCGCTTATGCCGGAGGACTCTGGGGGTGGGATGTAACCACCACGCGGATGGGGGAAGTTTGGACACTCTGGGAGCAGGACCAGGACCAGGAGGTGGGTCCGTGCTGAGTCTCATAGGCCCGTGTGGAGGGGGTAGAACAGACTTTTGTGCTCGGGACAGCCTTGCTTTCCTTCTTGGGGAACCTCCTATGAGGCTACAATTCCTGCTGGTGAGTATGAGATCTGGAGCCAGGGCAAGTCCAGGCCACGTTGGACTGCAACACCCATCAGTTCACAGAAGGACTAGGGCTGGGCAAGGCTGGGCTAGGCTGCTGTGCCTGCCAGTGAGAGCTGGGAGTGGGAGTGGGCGGGGCTGAGCTAGGGTTTAGCACCTGCTGGCAAATGCAGCAGTCACTGGGGATGGGCCATGTCAGACTGGCCCACAACACCTGCTTTCATGCTCAAGACCTGGGGCTGGGAGCAGGCCTGGGAGGGGAACTTCGGGCACTCCCTTGCTGGGCCACTGCTTCCAATGGTGAGTGTGAGAGGGAGGCCAGGTTGGGCTAGGCTGCTGTACTTGCTGGAGTACACAAGAGCCCGAATGGGTGCGGGTCAGCTGAGCTAGGCTGAAGCATCAGCTGGCAAGTGCAGAGACTGGATGCTAGTCAAGTCAGGCTGGACTGCAGTACCCCATGGTAGGCACATGATCTAGGGCTGAGAGTGTATCTGACAGAGGAACTGTGGGCACTCTCCTGCTAGGCTGTAGTACGTGAGTAGGTGACTCACTGCAGGTGAGTGCAAGCACCAGGGCTAGGGGCAGGGCAGAATGACCAAGGCAGAGGCATCTGTTGACCTAGGTGTGGGCTGGGACTGGGGGCAGGTCAGGCTAAACTAAGCCACAGCATCCATGAGTGTGCCCAAGAGCTGGATGGGATGATGGCTGGGGCCAGCTAGGCTGCAGCAGAGGTTGGCATGTGGAAGAACCAGGGCTGGGTTCAAGTCAGGTAAGGGTTGTTGGGGGCCACCCCAACTAGGCTAGAGTACCTGCTGGTATGCTGAGGACTAGGTCTGTGGCAGGGTGGCTGGGCTAGGCCACCACACCCTTAGACTCACGTGAGTTATGGCGCTGGGTGAAACTGACCAGGCAGCTACATCCACAGGATATGTGTTGGCTGGTGCGGGTGACAGACCAAATCGATCCCTACTCTGATTCAAGTCTGGGGCCCATCACAATAGCCTAGAGGTTAAATCCTCACCTTGCACCCTCCAGGATCCCCTTTGGGTGCCAGTTCATATCCAGTCTGCTCCACAGCAGTAGAGGATGGCCCAGCGCCTTGGGAGCTTGCACCCACATGGGAGACCCAGAAGAAGCTCCTCAGTCCTGGTTTCACATTGGTTCAGTTCCAGCCATTGTGGCCACTTGTGGAGTAAACCAGAGCATGGAAGATTTTTCTCTCTCTGAAGCTCCTTTGTTCTGTATATCTGCCTTTGCAAGTTTAAATTAGAGAGAGCGAGCGAGAGAGAGAATCTTGTGCGTGCTGGCTCACACAGTCCAAATACCTGTAACAGTAGGAGCTGAGCCAGGTGGAGGCAGGCGCTACAAAACACATTCAGGTCTCACATCTGAATGGCAAGTGATCAGGAAAGGGGCTCTCACCGGCTGCCATTTTGCCACATTAGCAGGAAGCTGGATTGGAGGTAGAGGCGGGACTCAATACCATGACTCTGATATGCATTCAGGTGTCCCAGGATGCAGTCCAACCCGCTGCACCACAATGCCCGATCCAGACTCAAATCTTAGTAGATACACTCCCATAAACTCCAGAGTGGCGGCACAAGGCTGGGGCCCTCAGGTCACTCCAGAACTCAGTGTCAGTGAGTCCTGGCATGGCAGAGAAAATGTTTTGCATCAGGGACTCTTAAGTACACAAACAGCTGAGGGAAGGAAGCCTGTGCAGTGGGAACCAGATGGACCTGTAGGACTAGGACAAGTAGGAGAGCCGTTGCACTCATGTTTGCTGCTAGACAGCCAAGGGGACAGTGATTGAATCTTCGTCATGTAGTCAGAGGGCAAGAGTCTGCCCTTCACTCCTGAGCTGCAAAAGTCTCCCTTTAGGGGCATTTCCACCCTAGAGCCTTCACTCCCCAGGGGAGAGAGAGAAGCACACACACTGGGGTCTCCCATCCACTGATACACTCCACACAGGCACACAGCAGGTGAAGGTTCAGCCAGGCTGAAGCCTAGAGACGGCAGCTTTGTCTGGGTCTCCCTGTGGGGCAGATGCCCAAGCACTTGGTCATCTTCAGGGGCCTTCTCAGGTACGGAAACAGGAAGCTGGATAGGAAGTAAAGAACCTAGGTCTCAAAACAGCCCAGATCTTGGAAGAAGCAACCTGCAGTTCCCTGCTGTCTCAGATGCCAGTGAAAAGAGAATATGGGTCAGTGTGAATAGCAGATGCATTTGTTTGCTT